ATATAAATAACAAAATTAATATTAATTTTTATCAATTTTAATATTAATTAAAATAAAAAATATATTTATTATATTCTTAATTTATATTTAATTTATGTTCTAAAGTAAGTAAAATACTATTTTATTTTTTCTATATATGTAATTTAATAGTTAAAATGTCGGTAAATTGTATTAAGATACCGTTGAATAAACCTTTTAATTAATAAGGAGACTTGGATCAATGACAAAAATGATGGCAGAATTTAATTAAAACAAATTTTGTATTTACTGAAAATATACTTTAGTTAAAGCCTTATATATCCAAATTAATGCTCCGTAAAATCTCTTTTATTAATCAGAATTGAACAAAATTACAATATCTAGGTTTAAGGAACCAAAACGAAAGATAATTTGGACAAAGAGAAAGAATCATTTATTTTATTGAGAGTCTTAAAAAATAATGGCTTCTTGAACTCAAGAAAACTCTGAGAAGAGAAGGCAATCATACATTTTATTGAACATAAAGAAAACAAGTAATCTTAAAAATACATGTGAAATGTGATACTATGCTGGCCATTTTAGAAGCTGCTCCAACTATTTCAGAATCATTACGCGCAATTTGTACACTGCTCCATGTAATTGATTTCAACTCTGTCCTCATTGCAACTCTCCAACGGGTGCCTCGTTGAGCCACAGGAAATGGATAAAATCATAGAGCTTTGCACTTACACTCACCTGGTTATCAGCAGATGGTTATAATCCAAGCAAAAAGAAAAATTTACAATGAAATTTGAGAGTTTATCATAAATACCTTGTAAGGTGTTGGATTTAATCTCCTCATGTGATCTGGTCTCATTTGCTCAAGTTGTTTGATGCATCGCTCTCTAATGTCCTTTAGAGGCGGTAACTCTTCTCTTACTTTACCTTCAACAGAAAAAAAAAAAAAAGTGGATCAGCAACGCCTTAGAAAGATGGTTAACAATTTTTGCCCTTAGACTAACCCTTTTTCTTCTCTGAAAACACTACATTGGCTAACTAAGGCTACATTTGGTGAAAAAGATGAGAAGATAATTGTCCAATGGCTATCCTCCATAAAACATTTACTTTGTCCAACAATTAGATAAAAGATTTTTACTAGTTTTCCTCTGCATTTCTTACCTGAGTCCCCAGGCCAGTAACACTTCAGAAGCTCTTCAACACGCTGTGGCACCATGTATGCTCTTTTTGATTCATTAAAAGGGTGGCGACATAGGAGTCTTTCTCCTACCTTCAAGTTTAAAAAGAGAGGAGAAAAGGAGGTCATTTTGCTCAATTTTGGCAGTTAAATGAAGTAAACTCTCAAATATCACAAGATTCTGCGAATGGAAGGGCTACTTTGTACTCATTAACAGAAAAAATGATGATGTGGATTCAGCTCTTACAAAACAGTGCATCAAACCAAACTGAAATAAGCACAGACAAGCAAGCTTATGTGAAGGCAGGCAAGAATGATAACAATACCTTTGGAGATGGTTCATTCTCCCCTGTCATTATATCCACCAGGGGATATCCTTCTTTACCATACAATCTGTAAATCCGTTTTTTGCAAGGTATAGAGACCTAGTATCCAATAAAGAAAACATAAGAAAGTAGATCATACCATGAAAAGAGGATGCCAGAAATCTCTTTGACAGCAAGGTCAAACCTTTGAGACATCTTCAGAAAGTTTTATACGAGGCTGATTATTTATCTCAACAAGCTTGAAGACACATCCTAAAGCAGCTTGAGCATAGCAAGTGACCAAATAGGTTCCTATTCCAAAAGCATCAACCGCATGGCCCTAGAAAGAAGCAAACATGAGTTTTCATTAATGGATATACAGCAACGTACATCAGGAAGGCATTGGAATTCAAATATCTCAGGTAATAGAATCACATCTTACTTCCCTTAAATTCAAGATTAAAGTTTCACCAATATTAACAAATGTAGAAACTAGAACCAGTTGCTACTGCATTAAAATAACCAGTAAAAAGGATCACTTGTGAATATATTTAAACAAGAAAGTGAAGCCATGTCAAACACTCAACCAAGACATTCACAAATTTCTGAAGAGTGCCAGCTGAAGCTGAGATGATTGGACTAAGTCTGACACTTAGAGTAGGAGAAATTACCATTTCTTAAGACTATTGAAAGCCCAACAGACCTATAAGAGAAAAAACTAACATCTAGAGAACTAGGTAAAAATTTTTTTTATCACATTTTCACATCTAGAATCCTTGACAATTTGCCAACTTGGACCTTAGCAGCTTAAGACAGAATGTTCATACAAATTTCTACTGGAAATGCTTTCACTGCCATCAAGCAAGTGTAACAGCAGAGACTATTAGTTCTGCCCTATGTCAAAAGATAACGAAAGATAATTGTGCAATTTGCAACATAAAGTGAGATGCTGAAAGTGAGGATTTAAAGTCAAGTCTGCAATAGCTTTACTGTTTAGATCCTCCTAGAAAAACTGCAATCATATCGACTGCATTGTGACAGAAGATTTGCATGGTTGAGGTGACAACTAAGGAATCTTTTCTGATTGAATTTCTACATGTTTTAAAATAGTATTAGAAACTAATTCACTATTGTGAACTTTGTAATAGCTAAAGCGTGCTATGGAATAACTTTGGTGTCACATTTTCCACTTGTAGCATTGTTTTCGCACTTCTACAAATGAAGTCAAGGTTTTCAATGCAAATATCAGATAAAAGTTTTCAAAGGGACCTCCATTTAGAATGAATACCTGTTTGTTTAATGCATCCAAAGTTTCCTCATTCAGATCATTACTAGCAGTAATACTCATCTTTCCAAAATCAGGAACTCCAAATTCCTTCTCAATTGCACAAAAGAACTTCCGAGCCTCACAAGACAAATATGCTAGGTCACCAGAGTCCAGCCTAATACCAACTGCTTTGTACCTGAATAATGAATAATAAACTCAGCACTGAAAATAGAATTTGACTAGACGCTTGCATCAAACAAATATTAGTCTCACAAGTCTTGAGACACTGTATAGATGCTAGGTTACTAGAGTCCAACAAAATAGCAACTGCCTTTTACCTGAATAGTGCATAGTAAACTCAGCAATGAAAATAGAATTTGAATAATTGATTGCATCAAGCAAATGTTCAGTGTGACAAGTCTTTGGATGCTATGTAGATGGAAGAATTGTGAATTGCATCACATATATAGAGGACAGAAGAAATCTAGAGCATAAGAATATTTAATATGTAAATGACACTGACAGCATAATATGAAGGGGAAAAAAGCAAGACGTTGAAATTAAGTGTCATGCTTTTATTAAAGGAGGGAACAAATAGGTTTTAACTAATATAGGATTTTAGTTCTTGCTCACTAGCTATCTTCTTATTGTAAGTTTCTTCCATTAATAACATTAATTTAGATAAATATGGACACACAAAAGATTAAGATGAGAGACTAAATCAAATTCAATTCATGTCTACCCATCAAGAAAGGGTCTAAACACTGTTGTTTTAGCTTGATGAAGTGAATTTATGGTGGACAATAAAGTCCAAAAAATTACCACTGAACGGAGAAACAGAGGAAGTGACAAATGAAAACCAAATAAAAAATTTGTTAGCTCCTCTTAAATGTAAAAAGAAACCAATTTCCACCAAAAGCTACTGATGCATGTAAATAAATTTTAAACATACCCCAAGTCACTGAGTGCTAGAGCAACGGCACAGAAGTTAGGAATCCCACTCCTCATGACCTAATAAAATGTCCAGAATATATTGTAAATGCCAAAACTACTGTATGTAAAACATATCATGATTAAGTAATGAAACATTTCAGGGTAAAATTCATGAAAACTATACTTACATCATATGTGTCTACAAGAGCAAGAAAGTTCTCAGGAAATGCCAAGGCATATGAGGTGAAAGCTGCTAGCTCACTTTGATTGGTCTCTCCGAAAATGCCATTCAGTGATTTTGACCACTGTGTACATCAACCAAGCAAACAACTTGAGGGCAGGTGAAGATACCAAAAAGCAAAAGAAAAGAAAAGGAAAAGGAAAAGGAAATGACACCTGGATTTTGCTTAACCAGGTTTGAACAAGACTGACAAAGTCCTCACAAGTAGTTGAGTGATCAGAGCTGTGAAGTGATCTGTCTATGATCTCATCAGGGCTCTGCAGATTAAAAGATAAATAAGAGAACCCTATTTTCATGCTAAAAAATATAAATGAAACTACATTGTTAATGTTCAATAGATGGACATATCATAATAATCAGCTAGATAATGGCTGAGATAATGGCAGATGAAAAATGGCAACATCAAATCCCAGCTAAAGGCCCTGGCAGTAATATTCTTTAAGGCCCAGCAGCAATAATCTTTAAGGATCACATTAAGTTACAGAAGAGAAAATGAACCTACCAGGACATTAGCCACTACAAACCAAAGAACATGGCAATCAAAGACTACTGACCTGAATTTTTTCCTTGTTTTGATAAGTAATTCACTAATGACTATTAGTATTACATGAAAACTGCCACTTGCAAATATGTTTCTTTCACTTTAACACTGACAATCTTTCCACCAATTCACATCCAGAAAATCTTTGAATCTCTGTGGCTGGGAAGCAAGACCCTAGATTCATTCTAGATACAGAGGTTCATGTGTTGGTAGCAATGCAGGCAGGAAAAGCAACCTCAATATTTGGAACAATTTAAATTTCACTAAGTAAATTAAAATATTTAGTTCATGTAGCTAGATATATATAAAAATTTTAGAATTGTATCCGTAATAAAAGAAGATTCACAGAACTAAATCTACAAAAGACAAGTAAGATATCAAATATTTGGTGGCCACATTAAGCCAAATTGCAATGCTCCTCTTCACACATTTCCTATCTCAAAGTTCCTCAACTTATGAATAGAGAGAAGCAGGGTGCAATACAATAGCAAGACATTTGGCTTATGACATTCACTATATCATGTTGAGAACACATGGCAACAATGCCTGCTACAATTGAGAACATATGCTATAATATGCATTATGTCTCAAAATTAATTTCTTGAATGAACTACTAACCGTAAATGAGCTAACAAATGCATGAGAATGTGTCCCACGAAGAGGTATTCCGAATAGCCTCCCAGCTGCAACATTGCTGTCAATAGGGAATATAAAAGAATTAAGCCAAACCAAACATTAGCCTGGATTACTGACCAACTTCATTGAATAGTAAGCCATGAGTGATCTCAATACCAAGCATAAAAAAAAAGGAATTAGCTAAGTTGGTACTCGCAAACTTCAAAACCTTGATTCACCAGTCAAGGTTAGGGGTTCAAATCCCTCCAATAGCTAAACAAGAACTTTGCTGATAAAAAAGTATTTTCCTTAAATTATCAACAGTAACAAGTTTTTATAGTCCTTTTGTCCATTGTCTCTCTCTCTCTCTGTTTTCCATTTTTAATTTTATTCTTAGACCCCATGAAGGCAATACTTGGAAGAAATCATAATGTAGGTCCTAGTAAGCAATAGACAACTAAATAACTAGTATAAAAAGTTTAATTAAACTTATTGCTTTTGCTGGTGATTCCCATATGGTTGAACTGGTCAAAGTATGGACCCCCCCAGGCTACTGTATTCAATTAAATCTGGCAATGGAAAGTATCATGACAGCAAGCAAAAGTCGTGTGTGTTAAAAAAATAAAAAAATAAAAAAAGAAAAAAAGAAAATAAAGCATTCTGGGGAAAATAAAGCAACCGGCATTAAGGCATCATACTAGTCATAAAAGGTGCAACCAATGGCCACTAGCATATTTTCCTTTGTGGCTAATCAACTATTTAATATCCTTGAATTTGATGGGAATTCAAACTCTTAAGCTGAATGAAAATATTGTATCCATACATATTCAAGTTGAAAATCAGCAGGGCTTCACAGAACTGTAATCTTGTATTTATGTGACATCCCACAGTGATTCATATGGCAAATTGAGTCATTTGGGTTTGATTAGAACCTACACTAAAACCAGAGAAGTGACAGTTTATAGAAGGCAACGGCTATGTGCAGCATAAATTACCTTGTTGCATCAAATCCTCCCATATAGCAGTACTTTGAAGCTCCTAAAGCACCATCAGGTCCCTTCATATGATATTAAAGGATATTTTCTTAAAAGAAAACACAAATCAGAGGATCAAATAAAGAACAAAAAATACAACTTAGCAACCTGAGCTCGTCGAAGTCCAAACTCAAGAAGCATTTTAGATTTTCCAGCAACAAATCGATGCCTTGCAGCATTTGTAGCCACTAAGGATGCATAGTTTATAAGATTTAGAAATGGAGTTTCCAGTAATTGAACCACCTGCAGAACAAATTTAAGCACAGGAGAAATTAAAACAAATAAATGATGTGGATTAAGTTTATGCAAAAAGAACAATAAAAAGCAGAAAGACTTAAAACACAGTTAATAATCACTGAAAACAAATGTGAAGCAAAGGCTAGTTAAGACTAGGTAGATGGTACTCACTGCAATTGGTCCTTCAACTCTAACCAAGGGTACCTTTGGGAAAACAACTGTACCCTCTGAGATAGCATACACTTCAACATCAGTACAGTTGATTCCTCTAAGATAATCACAGAACCCCTCCTATCATATATAAAAATGGTGAATCAGTTAACCATCTAACTTGTAGGCAGAGTCCACAAATCAAATAGATTAGAGTATAATACCTTAAAAATGCATTTTGGGCTATTTTTGAAAAGAGCATGCAACTCAAAAACTTCATGGAGAAAGTATTTCATGTTTATGATGATAAGAAAAAAGTTAAAGTTGACACCATGTAAAGATATAGCCCTTGATAAAACATGTTAGTCTACTGGTCTTCAATATACCATACTGGGGTTTTTTCTCAAAGGCATGAATTTTGGAAAAAAGGTAACCTCTAAAATTAAAAAAAAAACGTTATACTATTTCAGAACTAAAGAATTCCAAACTCAAATTTATTGCATAAGTGAATTGGATTGGTTATTAAATTTACCTCACATGAACCAGGCAAAGTTTCACGAATGAAAGAGATCTCTTCCTCTGATAATCTGAAATTAGCAATGAACCTTATGCATTCATCTAAACCAGCAAAGACTGTATATTCACCACCAAATGGATTCTTCCGAAAATATAAGTCAAACCTGGAGCATCAAAGACACCAAGAAGCTTCTCAAAACATAGTAAAATTCAAGAATTCAAACATCTACATAAACAAAAAGAACAGGAAGAATGGATTTGGAATAATAAAAACCCAAGATTCATGCTTTAATTAAAAAAACAAGTAAAATAATTTAATCAACTAATCTAAAATCCAGCTCAATATCCAATCTCCCAGAACTACACTCAAATAGTAAATAACCGGAACTAAAACCTCCGCAGAAAAACAACTAATTAATTGGTAATAGGCAACAGCAAACAGAACCAAACGGAACAAGTGAAGAAGAAGAAGAAGAAGAACTCACACGGCTCGCTCGTTGTGCTTGCCGGCTTTCCAGTAAGAATAAGCCATGGTGAATTGGTAAAGATCCGTCAACAGAGGTGTCACCATGGGGTTGGTGGGTCCTTGGATGGCCAGAGCCGGTTTGGTAGTCGGACCATTGGCTTTCGTCTCCATTATCCTCCGGTGGCAGGAATTCTAGGGATTTGGCGTTCTTGATATCTAGTGTGATAGAACAAATGCAAAATTCTCGTAAATCGTTTATATAGAAGAAATGGGGAGTGCGGGAAGCGGAGGAAGAATCGTGAAAAACGAAGTACTTGTTTGTGATAATAATAAAAATTCTACGGAGGGAGCGGACCACTGGTGGGGTTACTATGTATGGTATGCTATGCTCTTGTTGGGTTGTTAGGGCCTCCTACGTGGCGCGACGCAACAATTTGGCTTTTGTAGACCTCTTGTTTTACACGGCCTTTGACTCTAGTTTCTCTCGTTGTAATGATTATGTGGTTATAAATGTTTAATGCAGTTTTACATCAGCACGTTCTTTGTTTTTCTTTGTTTGTTTATTTATTTATTTACAATTTAGTCCTACCTAATTCTTTTGGCAAAAGTATGAAAAAAGTTCTCAAACTTATATAAAATTCTCAATTTTAGGCCCAAACTTTAATTGTATTTAATTAAGGTCTCAAACTACATTAAATTCTCAAATAAGATCTCAATTAAATGAAACATTCTCTTATCGTCAAATGTCTTGGATGCCCATTAATCATATGTAAGTCTTTGCCAACTGAATTGCCATATGAAAAACATTGTTATTTGTCATTGCCATGTGGATGCCACATGGATGACACATGAATGACACATGAATGACACATGAATGCCATGTGGATTCTCTTTGATAGGATTCTCCTCAAAAGCAACTAGGACCACTAGTGGCATCGACATAGTAATGACAAGTTACATGTTTTTCCATGTGATAATTTAGTTGGGTAAGAGGGTTAGGGATGGTTAATGGGCATCCAAAACATTTAATAGTAAGAGAATATTCCATTCAACAAGAGAATATTTCATCCAGTTGAGACCTTATTTGAGAATTTCACGAAGTTTGGGATCTTAATTGATCACAATTAAAGTTTGGATATGAAATTATGAATTTTGTGTAAGTTTGAGTCCCTATATCATATTTTTGCCAATCCTTTTCACATCTGCTTACCATATTTAAAAAATTAATTATTTTATATATTAATTTAAAGGACTTAAAGCTAAATTTAAAAATTCATTTTTATTTTGTTTTTAACAAATTCCCAAGAGGTTGAATTCGAACCGTTACTCTGAGGTGGAGGAATGCACTTATACATGACCTGACGTCACTGTACCCGAAGGCTCAAGTGATAAAAATTTATTTTTATTGATGAATTTAACTCTTAAAATTAAATCAACACATTACATCTGGATACAATTTAATTTACAAAATTATGAATTTTTATGTGTTTTTATGGATATAATTTTTTGCATTCCTTGCTCACCCAGAATGGTTCTAATACCATCCAACTATTCCACTTCAAACCATCAAACTAAGTCGTTTATTAAAAAAATCTCAACAGTTAAATTGATTGATAAGTAAATATTATTTTGTAGATTAAATTTAATAATTAAATGTTGATTTTAACACTAAAATAATTAATTTTTTAATACATTATGTATTAAATTAATATAGAGATGTGTGACAAGAAAATTAATTTTAATATAATAAAAATTACCACGAAAACACTCTAATGGTAAATTAAAAAAAAGAAAAGAAAAGAAAAGAAAATCGAACATCAATCAAATAAAAATAAATACAACACAAAATTGAGTTACGATCTGCATAAAGGAGTCAATTTGCCGCATTACCAATTTACTCCCATGTCAGCATGCGTATGAAAGGAAAAAAAAAAAAAAGGCATATTAGTCTTAGCTCGTCAATCACGAAAGGTTTTAATTTTTCTCCCTTAAAACAATATATTATGTCAATGGTGAGAAAATGGGAAGAGGAAAGCTTGCATTACCACCGTCAAACTTGAGAAAATGGGAAGAGGAAGTCTGCAATTACCACCGTGTCAAGGGGCCATTGACGAAAGAAAAATAAGATTAGTCTTCTAATCCGTCCATTACGAAATGTTAGAACATTCTTGCCCTTAAAACAAGATATTATGTCAAACGTGAGAAAACGAGAAGAGGAAAACAGGAAGAAAATATCTTGCTTTGAAGGATTTGAAGACGTTTTTGATTGTCGGGTGGGATTGTATACTGTAAGTGTTGACCCACAAGCATTGATCCACATCGACAAGACAATCAGTTCCGGACATTATCTATTGGAAACAATAGGAATATGCCCATGTAAGGCTGCATCCCCCAATCATTCATGTTTAGACAAAATATGTTAGGATTCCCAAAAAACCTCTTTAGTTTATTCCTTGTTCTTCTCTTTGTCCAATGTCACCTGCAGTGGACAGACTCGTTTGTTTTATACATGATCATTGTAACTTAATGTAGTATATTCTGGTTTTATGAGTTTAAAAGAAGCATCATTACTCAACATAGCAACATAGAAAGATACAAATTAATTAAGAGTACATTCCCAAAAAAATACAATATAACTTGCCTAGGTTGCCTCCGAAGTTTGTCTTTATGTTTGCTGTCTTCTTGTGGCTCTTATGGTTGTCATTATCGATCCTGTCATTAATCATTATCATGGTTATAGTAGTATGGCACCTAATTTCACCCATGTTGGCATATTAGAGGGGTAATGCATGCTCTAAGTCATGGAGGGAATCATCTAATTTCATCCATGTCAACATATAAGCGTGGTATGGCCACACTAAATAGGGTAATGCATCATGAGATTGACATAATTCACCAATTTTAGTCAAAAGGCTATATAGTTTTATAATATAAATCAAGGATTGGATTTTCATCCACATAAACTACATTCAAGTGAATGTGAGAAAGAGCATAGCATATCTCATTCTCATACAGGGATATGAAGAAAATTATCAGCTGAGAAGGTGGCAGCTGATAAAACCACAAAAGGAAGAACAAAATCGGTAATTTACTTTAGTGATCCTTTTTGGCTGCAAGAATTGATGAGACAAGTTCTGCTCAATTTCTACTCCATGGTTAACATGTAACACTCACTTTCAGGGTTTAATAAGCAATGTAAGGAGGAGCAAGAAGCTCAAAAAAATGTGTTGCTTACTAACACCAGAAGGTTAATACCTTAGCATCAATCCAACAAATTCAGAAATCTGTTCTTTCCATCTCGATGTCATCATCAGGAGAACTTCCTATTTCCATTCCGCTGAAATGAGTAAAATGAGAAATTATGACAGATAAATAAATGTGTTATGTGGGGACAAAAGGTATCATTCTGGGAAGTAATAGTTACCTCATCAAGTGAGAGAGTATAAGGTCATGATCTCTTCTAATTAAATCAGAAACGTGTGCATCAAAGGGGACTGAAACTGAAGTTGATGTTCCCATGTCAAATTCTTTCAATAGATAAAGATTTGTGAAAACAAGGCTTGAGAATTAAGATCCTAAAGTCATTACTGCAAAAATAAAAAAAAAAGGGAGAAAGAAAAAGGACCCCAGAGTGGGGTCTTGACATCTAGCAAGCATGTTCCTAAACGACGTTAGTGATGAGAGTTTGGTTAGCCTACCTGAGGGATTTGTCTTTGAACACTTTAATTTCAGTTGATAATGCCTCAAGACATCTTCTCTGCAGATATCCTTCACAAAATGATAATGTAAGTTTGATACAAATTATTGGTAAAAAGGCAACATTACTCTTAGACTTTTACCTGAGATGATGTGAGGCGCTGGAAGGGCCCAAACTGAGCCTCAAATGAAGTTTCTGAATTAATTGTACTTGACATATTATGTGTTGGTAGATGGTTTGAGGTAGTCCATTGGTTGGGTAGACTGAAAATAGTTTGTTCTGAGGTTTCTTGGTTCAAGGGGAGAGTTCCTGATGAATTCATATGCAGAGACCCATTTTCCTCACCAAAACTTGTTCTAGTCTGAGAAAGTTGGATTGGTGGTAACATGGCAGGTAAGCCCATGGGGTGCAGACTTAATCCATTTCTCATTGTTAAAATCTGAAATGTGAAACACAATGTAAACGGCTCAGAGATCAAACTTGGTGATAGATAGCATCTCTTTTATACTTACATCTAAATTAGCAATCTCATAGTCATAGGATGACTAAAGAAGATAAATGGGAAAGAGACATCCAGCAGCCAAGATGAACAAAGCACCACAGGTCAAGCAAATCTCAAAAATTTATGCTTTACTTGGCACTCTTCTTGAAACTTTATATGCTATAACGGACTGAAGTTCTAATTAGCAAGGCGAAGCATGATTTGGAGAAAGTTGGAAGGGTTCCATTCCTAACCCAGTTCAACCAATGACAGAAAAAGTCCAAGCACAATTCAGCCAGTGACAGAAAAAGTGAATGTCAAGACACTGCCAAATATCAGACAAGAATTAATTCCAAATGTTCCCAGCTTAGCGTATGTTGCTGCAAATTTCCATGCCCTGCCAATCTACAGTGCATGTTTTGCTTGGATACTATTTGAGTATCGACTCCACATGATGCCTTGATTAAAATGAGAAAAAAAGAATATTTGAATCATACTATAATTATGCCAAGGAACATTTCTCCACATATAGCTACCAGTACCAGAAGCTTCAGTTTCCATGAGGAACACATCACACCTTTTGCAAAGAGATTAGCCTCTAACCATGATATCGAACATGAAACTTAAGTTGAAGAAAATTTCATCTCTAGATACAACTTTCAAGTCTTATGGAATATTTCATTATTCAAATATCCTTTGCTGAACTCAGTAAACGTATTCACATAAAACAAGACCGATCTCACAATTTAGAATACTGGATTAAGCTATAAGAACACGGCAATACAAGCTTCTTAATAAACCAGATGCTGTTTGATATGTAAAGAGTAAAGACTTCCACACACCTCTACTTGAAGCTGAAGCTGCTGGAGATACTCAATAGCTTCATCAAGCAGTGAGGCTTTATCCGTCTGCCATGAATGGAAAACTCACTCACAGACTCATTCAATAAATTATCAAACAGATTGGGATTCTACCACAAAATGAAGATTAAAAACTCAAGAAGGCATACCTTGTTAGAATTTGGAATTAGATTTTGCAAGGCTTTCATTTTTTCGTTGATGCTGCTTCTCCTCCTCTGCCCCAAAAATCAAAAACCCAGAAAAGACAGAACCAAAACAAATTAGATGAAAGGACCAAACCACTTAATCATAGGTATAAAAGAGAGCCTTAAAGCAAAAGGCTAACCTTTTCAGACAAATTATGGATCTCTGCAGCTCTGCTTCTTTTTGATGAATTACGAAGTAGAGCAGGCATTGCTGGTGCCTCATCTATCATTGCTTCAAGATGCTCCTTCTCAGGAAAAAAAAAAGAATTCAAAAGTTGAATCTCAATCCAGATGAATTGATGGAGGAATTGAGAAAAAAAAAAAACATTTTCCCAGAAAACAAACAAGCAGAATCAGAGAAGATAAGAAGATAAGAAGCAAAGAAACGTACCTCGATTTCACAATCGTACTCATCAGTACCATTAATATCACTGCTCCCAACTGAACAAGACGCAACATTCCCCAACAACCCACCACCCGACCCCGAGCTCCTCCGCTCACACCCATCAACCCCCGCGATCCCCTGCTTCAAATCAGCAGGTGACGGTGACGACCAGTTAGAGTAAGAGTTATACCCTCGTGTCTGTGGGCCTCCGTTGCCATTAACAAAAGACGAAGACGAAGACGAAGACGAAGACGAAGGGACCAAAATCGTACGGACAAAGTGCGACGTATCATCCGAAGAAAACGTACTACTGTAATGAAACATGCTCATGTTATCCCCCATTTGGTCCTGAATTTCTGCTTCTCCTCCGTCGGTACTCTGTACAGCTGCTTTCCTCGGTGGCTCTATTCTGTTGCTTTAGTTGTGTTGTGTAGCGTCAAGACAACCGAGATATGATTCGCAGGAGCTATATAGGAATGCGAGCGGGGATGATGGAAAGATATCATCGTTGGCTTACATTCACTTCTGCTAACGCAACTAGGTGGTGCTGGTTACAACTTGCAAAGCAAATGATTGGGCTGTTAAATGACAACATCGACGGGATGAAACAAAAGTTACTGCTCCGTGTGCGTCAGGTGAACTGCACGAGAGTGAAATACACACTAAATCATGGGGTTATGAGTTAATTACTCCTCAAACTTTGTCATCTTTTCCGATCTCGTTTCAGCATTATTTAACTCGGAACTTGTACGTGGCACATTCAGATTGGGTAGAGAGATCTCCTGTCCATATCCACTAGGACCACTGCCGTACCGCGGGACCACCAGAGTATCTGGGTCGCCATTATCGGACGTCACATAAGGAATCATGGCTTACAGAAGACACGGTAAGTAAACACCCTGTTCTCTTTAGGTGGGGTCGTGGAGGTCTTGGATGTGGACGTGTCGGAAGGATTGGGTGATGGTAAGGGTAATCTGACGGTGAACCGGAGGGTTGTGGTTGGTTGGTCGGTATGATTAGTTTTTTGGAAAATAGGGAATGGTGTCGGTATGATTTTTTTTTTTTTTTAATATGTTTCCAAGGGGTAAGTTTCGAACCCAACTCGAGAAAAGGGAGAATGCACCGAGGTGACTATTACCACTAGGCCGCAAGTGCCAGGTGCGGTGTCGGTATGATTTGTGTGCCGTAAAATTCAGGAAAATCATATGTTCCCAATGTGCTCTGATGCCATTCAAGTGTCGTGTTCTTCAGTCACTAGCTATGTAAGTTTCTTGGACGAAAAAGACAGGAGCATGCGGTGGTATTATTTTCAAGTTTTTATCAATGACCTTTGAAACACTTTCAATTAGTTTAAAAAAAAAAAAAAAAAGGGAAAAACTTTCTATTAGTGCTTGGTTTTTTTAATGCTTGGGTGAAGTCAATATAAACTTAATTGCTCGTATATGACGATTTAGCATTAATAAAGATAAGAAGCTTGCTCGGTGCATGGGGATCTTTATTCTGAATAATTTCTTAGGAAAAGATTTGTGCAAGAAAAAGATGATGGCAACACGAGTAGAGCAAATATATCATTTTTCTAAAGTTTTATGGCAACGGTTCAGTTAGAACTTGTTGCATCCACATTCAAGGATAAGCACTTCAATTGTTTAAGTCATTATTTTTTTATAATGGGAAAAAACTCATTTTTTAGATGTATATTTAACTCACAACAATCATTTTTAAATTTATTAAAACTAACTTAAGTGATAAAAATAAATTTTAACTATGCTTGAAAATTTAAGTTCAAAACTCTCCATTATTATATTATATAAACGCAAATAATTTTTAATAAGTCACATTAATTTGTGTTGATAAAGCCACGTAAATCAAGGACTATCATGATGCGAGGGCGGTTATTTTGGGACAATGGCTTGAGCCTTTATTGACAAGGTAGCTTCCAAACAAGAAAGTTCCCTTAGCTTAACAAAGCACACAGGTTTCAATTTAGGGATTTGAAGTATGGGATTTTTTGGTGTGGGGTGGGGTTGGAGATGAATCAGAGCTCGTTGGTGGCTCAAAGGTTGGGGTTGGAAGAGTGGTGGTGAGTGGTGGCGGGATAGGTTTGTGTCGATGGAGTCAGGATTTGGTGATGTGGATATTGAGGGTAGAGTTGGGAAATTTGGTGATATGGGTATTGAATTGATGGTTAGGGATTTGGATTTTCAGGGTGAGTTTTGCATTTTTCTGGAGAGCGTTAGGGTGAGTTATGGATTTTTATGGAGAGGGTATTGAATTGAGGGTTAGGGATTCCGATTTTCGGGGTTTGTTTTGGATTTTTCTGGAGAGGGTGGTATAGGTCAAGAAAGGCACTAGAGTCTAAAGAGTAGTGATGAAAGTCTTCCCAACTTGCAAAGGGGCGGTTTCCCCAATTTGCAGAGGTTGTGGAGGAGAACAAGGAACTTCCTATAAGGTTAAATGGTTTCTGCCTCAGAATCCAACAAACTAAAGCCTCAATTCAGAATATAGCAGAGAAGGAATTAAGATTGCATAAACATAATTCAAAATGTTTACATGCCGAAGCAACCCTTAAAAGGCTGCATTTTCAATGTTTTATCTGTCACCAAAACTTCTAAACAAATATTCCTTAAGTCACAAGGTACTGATTCCCCATGGCCAACTCTTTATTCCTACAACAAAAAAACCTGCTGCTCTTGTAACAAATATCAGTGTTGCGGCGTTGATTAGGAAGAGTTGCTCTCGTGTCAGCCATTCTGCCTGGAAATCAACTACCTTGTTGAGAAAGTAAACAAGAGCATGAAAAGCTCGCCCGTGAAAAAATGTTTGATAGAAAGATACAGAGATATTGTTTGTAAGGACTGATCGGAACTACGATCCCTGAAAGAGAAGAAAGTCTAGAGGACCAGCAGATTCATCTCTCAAACGTCCAAACCTGTCGTTTTGCAGATGGGGCAGGTATTTTTCGTATTAAGCCATTGCTTGATGCAGCTGAAGTGATATTCATGACCACAGTCCAGCCTGCCAAGCTCTTCTCCTTCAACGAAATCCTCCTGAAAAGGGGGAAACAAGGTAAATCAATGTCCGCAATCAACCTATATACTCTGTGCACAGAATCCATGGGATGCTAAAGTACACTTTAATTTCTGTCTATGTATTTAACAGTGAAGGAAGAAGAATCGAGTGGCTCTTACTTGACAAACACAGCATGGCTCACATTCCCCTGGCCCAGCTGCGACAGGCTGATAAATTTGCCGCCTCAGACGTGCCAGAATGGTTTCGTCTGATAGTCCAGTTGGAACGTTACCAATTTGCTCCTCCAGAGCAAGTAGTTCCTGTAGTCAAATATTGTTAATTAGGATGAAATCATGTATAATAAATAACAAAAATTCTATATCTGAAGTTGAATTTTATTCCGAATTAATATCAGGCCATTTGGAAAGGATTCTTCACGTTTTTATAAAATCTTTAGGTAAATGCAAATTCAATGCCATAAACTTTGTTTTAGTGTTACCTCATAAGTCATATTATCAACATCAAGACGCATGTCATCATTTTCATCATCACTCTCCTCCCCCGGCAAACCATTCAGCATCGAAGCATCGACAACCATGAAATCCTGATATGCCACCATTAGTTCAGATAAAAGTTAGACTTCAATATAAACATTTTCTATACTTCAGAACAGACACATAACAAATTAAAAACTTTGTTCACAGATGCAGTTGCTTATGAGCAATTTTAGCAAGAACTGGTTAGTGACAATCAGTTTGAAGAACAATTTCAGATGTGAAAACTACCCATCTAGTTTATGTGCCTGCTTACTGCTATAAATTAGTATAACATTCTTTATTATAAGAGTGAAAGCAAGCATAACATGAACCAATTGTTAAACTTGATTTCACAGACATGAATAAGTCCAAGGTTAGACCCTATACCTCAAAATGGACGGTGTGTTCCCTACTGAAAACGTGCAATGCATCGTGAACCTATTATGTTAAAAATAGAGGAATTAGAATCTCTGATTAAGAGATGGTTTTGGAGCTAGATAAAATATTTAGTAAAACGGCAAGTTGAAAAAGGGAATAATAATTATAATGTGTAACCGGTTAAGACAGGATTTATGAGGACATTGTCCAACACTGCATTTACAAAAACTTGCTTAATTAAGATGGTGCATCACAATGTTTGAAGAACGACACTTTCTTTTTGAAGCATTATTTTAGATGAAAAAACGTTTGTAAATAATATTGGTCAATGCAACTACTTAGATAACATATTGCAGGCGGTCTATAGTGAAGACACTTAATGCAATTTAGGGGAAATATGGATCCTTGGGAAAAGGTTTCAACTTCTCATACTTGGTAACTATAGGAAAATATACAATTATTTATGTTTTAAAATTACTAAAAATGAGAATATTTGGTTATAGAACCGACAAAGCGAATATTCGAATATGCTTTCGAATATGCTTAAGATGTATAAGGAAGATGGATTAGAAAAGATATGATTTATCTCTTATAAAATGCTGTGTTCTTCATAGTTCTAGTGTGTGATCACCCATTGGGTGATCTACCACCCTGCCAGAGTTCTATCCCCTTTGATATGTTTTTCACTTTACCGATGTTAGCAAATTAGCTAGTCTTCCTTGTGCCTCATATTTCAAAAGAAGTGATTTGAAGAAGACTAAGGTAAGGCCTCCTATGATTTCACTCTTTCCCATTTCCTTGTGCATCTACGTTCATTATGCCTTTCTAATTTGACTATTTTTTATACAACTTTACCTTTTTGATTTAATCACCCATAATTTTCATTTTTCTTTTTTATCTTAAAAAAAGCTACCATCAACCTTCATCTTAAAAGAATAGGAAAAAGAACATACAGAAAAACTTTTTTGTTGTGCAGTGTGCACTAAGTTAAACCAATTCTATTCATTTTGTAGGAAAATACTCTAAGGTTCTTTGTCCTATCGACTCCTTCAGTAGTTGTTAGCAGTTTTCAAAGAATTTTAAGTTTGTTGGCTTTTTGAGAATATATTTTAACAGCATTTTCTTAGAAATAAATTTATTAACAAAACAATAAAGTTATTGAGATGATAGTTTGATGAGAATACCTCGGATAACGTTCTCTGTTGTCTCTCAGCAGCAGACGGAGACTGGACGAACAGAGGTCCTGCAGCTTGTCGCTCGGCGGTCCTCATCATTGATCCTAGCCTCAAAGGTGGCTGAGAGGAGCTGGCGCCGTTATCTGCTCCCATGGAAGGTCCAACATCTCGATCTGCAGCAGCATGATACTCGTGATATGGACAGCAGTGCCATGATCGGTTGATGATGTCCCCCAGCGTTTCCGGTTCTGGGGGGGGAAACCTTGATGATGACGGTGCATACATGCTCGATGTCCCCGGATCATTTCTTGGAGCTGGAGCAATGTTTCCAGATCCAGGAAAGTCCAAGTTAGTTCGCATATTCTGCACCTGGTTTCCCCTTTCGAACTCCGGAAAGAACTGAGGAGCATTCATCATGTTTCGGATTCTGTCCATATCCTGCATAGCCCCCAACCTGGTTGCCTGCAAATCTAATAAGAAATTAAATCCTTGAGGAACCGGCTGGGGGCCTGGTGTTGCAGTGAAGGGTCCTGGTACTGCTGCTGCTGCTGCTGCTGCGCTTCTATAGTTTCCCTCAAGAGGGAAATACTGTGCTGCTTCGAAGCTCCTTCTGAAACGGATGTTTCTCTGGGAGCTTTCCGCCTCTTCTACAGGATGCACACCAGAGGGTACTTCCAGGGCAAGTACGAGACCACTGTTCCCAGGGGCCCCTACTGATTCTGCGCTGATGATACTGAGGTTTAGGGGCCCAATTCCGTTTATGCGTCTGGCATTTGCTTGGGCATTTGCTGCAGCAACGAGTTGTTGGAAAATCCCCAGCTGCTGCTCATAGTTCGCACCCTGCTGAGCAGAGTTTGAACTCTCTCCAAAAGGCCTTTCTTCCGGAGCATCTTCAGGCTCTCTTCTTTTCAATGCCAGACGCCTTCCATCCGCTGAACTGTCCTGGTTGTGGTCCTCCACAACATATTCCGCTGATCCTGAGCTAAGAAAACCAGCATAGGAAGAAGAGCAACCGCCAGCAGGAGCATTCAGGTCGAGGCCACCGGGGAGTACTGACCCAAGACTAGCCTCTTGAAAAGCTAACGGGCCACCGGTGAACTGCGAGAATCCTAAGCCCGCGCTACTCTGATCTCTTGGAGCTTGATCATGAGCTACGTTTTGCTCTGGATGCCTCTGTTCTGACCTTTCAGCAGCCCGAGCCTGTTCGATAAGAGGAGTAAGCCAGTCTTCCCCAGCCGTTAGTAGTTCCTGGAAGCTAACGTCGTCGCCAACTTCCAGGTTTAAGTCGAAATTTGTATTGCTCGACTCCCCGTGGTGGTAATTGCTTCCTGGGAAGAGGTTCCTCCTGTTTCCGTCACCCTCCATTTTCCAGATAAATTATAACCTGAACAAATCAACTGTATTAGTACTAGCAATGTAAAGTCAGTCCTCTTTTGGATTGATGAAGATATATATGTAATAACAGAGATTCATTCTCCAGTTTCAATAATATCTTTTCTTCCCTCTCTTTTAAACTTAAAACAGATTTTCCTATGCTATCTACCAGTTTCTTTTCCATGTAAGATTTAAGCATGTCCAACTTCACAAAGACAAACAATGCGTGGGAAAATTAAAACATGAATGTTGAATCTATTCACAGTCTGGATCAATGCATATTAGAGAAATATTCAGAAGAATGAACATAATAAAA